CAAACAACAACAAACAACAACAAACAACAACAAACAACAACAAACAAACAACAACAAACAAACAAACAAAAACAAACAAAAACAAACAAACAAAAACAAACAAACAAACAAACAAACAAACCAACAACAACAACAACAAGGACAACAACAACCAAACAACAACCAAACAACAACCAAACAACAACCAAACAACAACAAAACAACAACAAAACAACAACAACAACAACAACAACAAGGACAACAACAAGGACAACAACAACCACAACAACAACAACAAGGACAACAACAAGGACAACAACAAGGACAACAACAAGGACAACAAGGACAACAACCACAACGACAACGACAACAACAACAACAAAAAGAATCAACAACCAAAAAAAAAATCCCAGACACTCTATGGGACTGCCATATATGCCGATCAGTTGGGGTGGCTGACTAGGGGTCAATGTAGGCATATATGGAATACATGGAGTGTCTGGGAATAACAATTTCTGTGCCTGCGAATCCAGTCAGTCACCGCTGATTAGCGCCCCTTTCTCAAAAATGCCCATCGCCACCTGTTGCGCTGCGGCTCCCAACTGCCAGGTCTGCCACCTTGACCTGGCCGGGAGTCTGTGTGGAGAAACTTCCGAGAAGAGGGGCCGCGTCACGAACATGTGATTGATTTATATAGCGCCACCGCACAAATCGTGCCTTTGGAATTCTGAGAAAAATTGAAGTGATCGAAACCATCAACAACAAATCATACAAAAATAATCAAACATATATACAAAAATATGAGTTTGAATGGTTGATTTCATTGTCAGTCTTAGTCTTACCTCACAAGCAGTGGCCGTGTTGGGGGTTCCCCAATCCGTTGATTCTCACCACAGACACTTTAGTGACTCCAATTTTGAAGGAACTCAAGTCCGCTGTTGAGACATGAGACTGAGTTTCCAAGTCTCACCCGGATTGAGAAAGACCTTGAAACAAATGTTTGAAGGCAGGTGTCGTTGATCATCCGGGGGTCCCAGCCGACCAAACCCAGGAGGTTTCTCATGGTTTCTCCCTCTTGGGAAGAAGAAACGCTCCGCTGCGCTCGGTCGTGACCGTCCTTTCTGAGAACGTGACCGCTCCGACGTGGACGTGGAAAACGGGCCCCCCCCGCCCCGTTCGGGCCGCCCGTCCGCTCGAACAGGAGCGGAATAACCACATCGGGGGTGATTGGGAGTGTGAAAGACCTTCCTTCCTTTTCGGTCGTTCTTCTCCCCAAGTTCCGCCAGGGCGACGGGGTCATTCATGTCGAAGTACTGAATGACCTGCACGGGTCATGTGTTCCATGGAACATGTGCCGCGTCGTGGAACTGGTGCGGCCGAGCACCTGTTCTCATGCTTGATGTTCCCATGTAGTCTTCAAAGCAGGTGAAGCAGGGGGCGGCTGAATGGCTGGGAAATGCTGGGAGGGTGCTGAAGAGACCTTCAGAGTGTTCACTAGTCTGTCAAGGTCCGTCAGACCAAAGGAGTCAGCAAAGCAGGAATGTCTTTGGTGAAAGAGCAGGAGTTCATCGTGCGGCTCCGGTTCTCGCCGTGAACGCCCCACACAAAACCATCTTCCTTCCACCTCGAGAGGTGACGATCTTCTCTTTTTACCGCTTCCAATAACGGAACAGTAGTTACCTACCCCTGCCGGTCCTTCCAAGCCAAGGTTGGATTCAAGCGATGTGGGTTCACGGTGACAAGGGTTCTTCCATTTCGGGTGGCTGGTGGATTCAGCGCACGAGTCACGAGCCAATGCACCCCATCAAGCGCTCGCGAGCTTGAGAGACACCGGTGGGGCGGCTCCAGCAGGAGCAGGAGGTCCGGTGCTGGCGCCTGGTCATGCTGCTCTCGCAGCAGTGGCGAAGCATTGATGACCTTCTTTAGAAGGGCCACCTGGCGGTCGTCCAAAGCATCCCAAAGCCATGTGGACATATGTGGACATATGTGGACTGTGGAGCAGCTGCCCTGGTTCATGGAAGCGCAAGGGCAGACCCTGTCAACGATCAGATACTTGGACTAATAATACTTGGAGTAACTTGACCTTGCAAAAAGAGGACCAACACATGGATCAAAGGGACCAACACATGGATCAAAGGGACCGACGCATGGATCAAAGTGACCGACGCATGGATCAAAAGGGGTCCTTGCGCCAGAACTTTCTTTCCCCACTGTCCCGCTGTTGCGCCAGTCACTTGTCTGGCACATTCTGGCACTATGGCAGGTATAAGATGAGCCGTGATCCTCAGCAGGTACAAGCCACTTGCTTTGGGTGGAGTACTTGGAGCTTTACCCATCAGCACACCTCAGCACAAATCAAATCGTCCTGAAAGATACCACTGAGACATCGGAGTTAAAACTCTTCAACAGACCAGAAATGGCTGACAGCTGATGCTCGTTCCCAACCCCCGAAGAACGCCCAACTGCTGCGCCGCGCGCATGGAACTCCGCGCAGCGTCCTTTTCTCCCGGGTGGCCCTGGGGCCCGTGGCCCCCGCAGTCGGGCTTTGAGGGCCCTGGAGGCTGGTTTAAAAGACGGTGAGGACCGCGAAGCTCAGCGCCAACATACCCAGGGCCTTGGATCCAGGGATGGAACCACCGAACCAAAATCATTACAAGGGCGCTTGGAAGCCCCAGAAGCACCCCCCCAGACCGATGGAAGTCAAAGCCTTCGTACCGACGACCGACGTCCCATGGAGTTCGACAAAGCTCTGAAGCCTCAAATCGTCGTCTTGAGACTTCTGCACAAATACGACATCTTCAAGTGTTCGTGTATACGCATTATATACAGTGTATGTATATATATATATACATATTAAAAATACTATACAATATATACATGCATTATGTTGTTTTGCCCACCTCATAACCCTTTCCGCGCATTTTGCCGGGGTCAAGTGCCATCTGATGAAAAGGCAATTGACGAGTGCCCTCTCCCGATCAAGTCCTCCTGGCGTCAACCCACGTCAGATGATTGGGCAGGAGGCCACCTTGCAACAAATCATTCCAAACCTCAGGAGCCTCAAAGACCCCAAAATAGCGCTCTTTTGCAAACGCAAGTGGTTTTGTGGTTGCCAGTAGCACCTTTGTGACCACCTGATCTCTTCATCGTCAGTAGCACACCAGTCTCGACAGCCACGAGCGACTGCGAGTGCAGCTTGGCCAAGGTACTCTTCCAGCTGAGCTTCTCTCTTGGCGAAAAAGGCCTTCTGTGCATACTGCGGTTGGACTCCTGTCTGGGAATACTGTTCATAGATGCTGGTCCATTCGGAGATCATGATCACACCAGCCATATGGTCACACAACTACATACAGTACAACTATACAAACTATGCAAGTATAGCTGGACTGGTGGACCCATTGCTCAACGCATTCCTTGATTGAATGCTGTTCTGCAACAGTACAGAATCGCTCGGTCCAGGAAGCGAAAGTGGATCATCCTATATCACTTTCATGTTGGATGATTGTATAGAAGCTCCATAACTGATGTTGCATGGAAATGCAGTGTTCAAATCCTGGTCAATATTCCCAATGCCGAAAACGTTCCGGTATGTTGGGGTTCGGCAGTCCGGAAAATTAGCAATTGACCTTTCTGAATCTTTTCAAACTGTCATTAGAATACTATAGAATACTTCTATAGTCTTCTATACAAAAGTTCTGCGGAAGCACCTGCCCAAAGCATGGAGCAACCGGATCCTTCCCTGTCATCAAAATCTGCGACAAATGTGATCTGGTGTTCTCTAGGATCCTCCCAGGGTCGTCTTTCCTTGCGGAATCCCTCGAGACCAAATCACCCATACGTCTTTATACAGCACCGTGTCACATCCGTCTCCCATCCCTCGCCTTCGTGGTCGTTGTCTCCTCAAATGGCCGCGTTTCGGAAACCACCGGAGGCCATGGTTTGGACACAACAGGCACCATGGTGGCACAAGCAGCTGCTTGCAGCTGGTCTGCTTGGCAGCTGCTTGCATAAAGAAAGAAGGTACAAGCCGTTCGCTCAAGCTGTTCTACTATGCGATTGGTCCAGCCGCATGCGTGCCCCCTCGGGTCATCATCCCAAAGCGACCCTCAGGAGGTCTGTACTTTTGACCATTGGCTCAAAGCATCTTGGGGACTCTTCCAGGATACTCATGGGGCTCTCTACACTGCATGAGCAAAGCAAAACTCACTGCAGGAGGGCACCTAGCGAACAAGCTGCTGAGACCCATTCTGATCCACAAAGCTCAGAGTTTCTAGTTGTGATACTCTGATGCTACTTAGGTGGCCAGTTGAACTGCCAAGTGGCCGTTACGTCGCTCACCACCACCTCCTGGCAGACGAGGTCGCAACCACTACTAGATGCAATGCTCGGGTCACCCTTGATGATAATCCAATTATATTATTGATCATTATTAAACATAAGGAGAGTTCGCAGGTGACATATCCATGGGCATCAGCAGTGAAGTGCCCCCCTTAAACGGTTGCTTGTGGCTCGAGCGCGCAAGCAGTAAACTCTTTGATGAACCGATGAACCTTCATTTGCTGATCAGTTGCTTACGAGCTCAAATGAGTGCTGCTACTTATCAGTTGAGTATTTGTTGCTACTTATCAGCTGATGAATCAACTTTTCGTCCCACTCAGCTCATTTTGGAATATGTTGGTTCTTGGCCTTGGTGTTGATGTCAATGGATACAGCCTCAGCACACGAGCAGCAACATGATCAGGTTCGGATATCTCTTCAGGACTCGGAAACCCCACTAACAAAGCCTCCCTACGGACGCAAATGGTACTGAGATACTTGAGGATCATTCACAGCCGCAGTGCTTGAGAACCTCCAGAACCAGGGATCGTTTAGGCTGCAACTCACCAGTCTGATGGGCCAGGAATGCACCCCATGCACATGCTTTAGGAGACACGTGCTACGCGCGTAGCATCATATCCAGTTCCAGCTTGGTCAATGACTCCGAATCCTTACCTTGCTTTGGTTCGATTGGTTCGAATGGTAGGAAGTTCTTCTCTCAAAGTTCAAGCGAATGCTCTTGAGTAATCTGAAACTCCCGTTGAAAACAGCCCCACAAAACCTGGTCATTTAAACCCAAAGATTCTGTGGCCGTGCATTGAGCCTGAAAAAGGCGGGAGGCCAAAAAACTCTGAAAGAAAAACGGATAAATGATAAATCATAAATCCGTGAGAGCCGTCCGCTTGGAACCACCTAAGTCTGCCGCTGGTTTTGGAGGCACAGTCGTCTGGGCGGCCTGCCAAGGCGCTTCCACACTGTGGCTATTCCACTCGAAAAGCTGGCATCGATTCTGTTTGTCTGTGTGCCTGCACATCTTCTCCAATGCCCAAAGCAAAGGAAGAAATTTCTTTGGTACAGCCAATGAACAGCGTTCTATCTGCCATAGAGGGGGCCAGAAGCAATCCGCCAATCGCCAGCCGCCCCAGCCAGACACATCGTCATCAAATTTCACAACAGTTTCACACAGATTCATCTGAAATGATCTGCGAATCATGGGAAAACTCATCGTTTAGACTGGCACAATACACATCTTGACAGCAAAAACTTACAGATACAGCTCCACAAAAATGTACCGTTCGCCCAAGTCGTACAGAAGAAGTTGCATCTATGTTTTGGTCACATCTGTTGCTCTTGCCAAAACCAGGTAGAGAAGGGTCTAATGTGTAATGGAAGGTGCCTCAAACAGCGGTGGTAAAACCCTCTGCAGACCGCAGACCCATCTGAACAGCATCAGCTCAAAACACCTTCGTGTCATTGACAATCACGGTGACCTTAGCAGCTTGGGCGCGCAGAAAGCCGCGCGCTCCACTTCGACATGGTTTCTGTCCACTTTTTGGACCTAGAAAAAATAATGCATGGTTGGCCGGATACGAGTACGGCAGCTTGGAAATCTAAACGGTTCCTCCTCAACACGAACTTTCCGAGTGAGGTCATTGGTTCCGCACTTTTTCCACTGAGAGCCAAGTTGGCCATGACACTTGGACATGGCTCGTAGATCACTCTCTGCAACAGTAGCTGTATAATTGGAACATTACAGGTGGTGTGGCAAGAGCTGTCTGCTACCTCCCACCTTCGCGCGGGATCTCTCGTATTCTGAGTGCCCAGGCATCCACCTTCTCATCCTCGGGCAGCGGCTGGTTCGCGTGGTGCACCTTCACGTCCTCTCGGCTGGGTCCGGAAGCAGGTTTTTCCCTTCTTGTCTGTAGTATTAGCGCACCTTGAGCGGCAAATGGCTCTGGTGGAAAACTCACCTGCTTAGCAGGCCTGCCCCGTATTCTCACTTGGTTTTCATATCACTGTGGAAGACCGGCTTTAAGTTTACTGAAACATCAAGTCCAAAAAATGGCAGGAAAGAAAAGGCAGCAGCACGACACGCTCTTTTCTTTAAAGGTGGTAGAGTTTCTTCTCTGAGGGCCTGTGTTCAAACTGTGGTTGCTAAATGTGTGAAAAGCCGAAAAGTCGCGAAAAGTCGAAAAGTCGCGAGAAAAGTCGAAAAATCGCGAAAAGTTGCGAAAAGTCGAAAAGTCGAAAAGTGCACGAAAAGGGAACGATGACAAAAAGAGTCACCCACCAAAAGGTCCCGGGGCTTGCCGGGTCCTTTGCATGTGACTGGTGTCCAAAAATCTCGAAAAAGTCTCGAAAAGACAAAAAGTCTCGAAAAGTGAGAAAGTCAAAAAGTCTCGAAAAGTCGAAAAGTCTCGCTGCGTGCTTTCGGTTCCTTTACCTTTTTGACGTTTTTGTTTTTCTCACTTTTTGACTTTTTGCGTTTTGCTTGGTGTCTTGGATCCTCGCTCAAGAATTTAGCGAGCTTAGTGTGCTCACCCGGGCTCCCATGGTCGCCTCCTTTCCACCGGCCACCCGTAGAAAAGGGCGAGAGAGTCCCGAGAAGAAACGGAGCTCCGCGCCCCAAATGGCTTGGTCCTCCCCCGGTATAGACGGCATAGTTGACCGAAGGTTGGGTCGACTAGGGGGCTGCCCTACCCGCCGGTACCCCTACTAGGTAGGCCTAGAGTAGGCCTATCCCATCCTGCCATACGCCTATGATTGGTAGGGATAGGCCTACAGTAGGCCTATGGATAGTGTAGCCTAGGGCCTACGATAGGCCTGTGGAGAGGCTAGGCCCCAGGAGCCCTCCCCAAAAGGGTTCAGGAACTGAAGTTTGGCACTCAAAAGACACAAAACAGAGCCAAAGAAACCGGAGCTACCGCTGCCCAACAAAATGACTGTCCAAGTGGAACTGTCGTGCCACCCAAGACTTGAGCCAAAATGTTCAGTGAACGTTAGATGCTTTCCACATGTTCCATGCACTAAAACATCCTAACCCGAGCCCCATGTTTGTGTCCGGGACCACCCCCTTCTCATCAGTCCACGCGAGTGATCTGCTTGGGCGTTGCTTCGTCTCGTACGATCTTCACCTCGCGTCGCGCCACGATCTTCACGCCACTGCACGGTTGGATCCGGATCGAGCCAAGGGGTGTTAGCTGTTCTTTTTCTGGCGAGCTGGGTGGTCTGTGTTTCGGAATCCCCACATCGTGGAGAGTTTTGGTCAGCCCCTACTGAAGGTGCTGGGGCACCAACCTCAGTGCAATTCGAGCGGAATCAGGTGAGAAAAATTGCTCTGTCTGTGTTAGTGTTGGAGTAGCTCTTCAGAATGGTCGCGTTCTGGAGTCTTTTTGAGGGGCACCAAACACCTGGAACCATCTGGCCAAACATGAAGCTAGTTGCAATGTGAATGTCCCTTTGTGATATGCATAAATCATGGCAAATTACAGTTCATGTTGCATCTCCAACTATCTTAATGATCCCAAACATCATGAGTCTCTGAAGCTTACACAATACTTAGTTAGAATACTTCAGTGTCGTAGCAGAGGGCATATATTTTTCACACTGTTCATGGACACATAGCTGCTATAGCTCATAGCTTTCCAACAAGAAAACACATATAGCTTTCGATCATGACATGAAAAGGAACACATTCACATACATTCACCACATCCTGCGCTTGCCAAGTCGAGCAAGAGCTCGCGACTCGCACCTTGCCCTGTTCGTTCTCCTGCTCCTCACCAGCGAAAGCTCACTTGGTCCATGGTAAGCCTATGAAACCCTTGCAGTTTACCATTTAAGCAGTTGAATCCATTCAGGAGGTAGGGAACAATATGTATACGTAGTGCCTTGACAGTTCATCCCAAAAGTCTATTATGATGGCCCCTCCCCTTACCGCACCCGCGAAGTAGGGATTAACATTATTTGGGGGCCCGTGAGACGCTATGTTGGGGATGAGTAGCAGAGTAGCACTTGAAATGCAATGCATACTTGCTTCATATTACGTGTGTGGGTGTATGTGTATATGTGTATAATAACTATACTATTATACCAATTATATATATATAGACATAAACCGTGTACAGCATCTGTACATACGTACAATACATTCCTGTTCAATGTGGACAGGGGGAATCTTGGCCCTTGGCAGGGGAGTTCCTAAACTGTTATGAATCCTGAAATGGTCCCCGAACAAGAAGGCCTGGTTGATGAAGCATTGACACATGCGCTACTAAGTGGCCTCCCTGTTGCGGCCCTAGTCTTGCTAGTAGCTAGGAAGCTTATCCGATGTTCTACGCAAAACGCTTGAGGGCCTACTGGCTTGAAGTAGGGCCAGGTATCACTGAGACAGTCTGTCACTTGCTGCACCAAAAATGCCCCTCTTCATCGATGGCGTCCCCAAACTCACCAACGGTTCCATCCACTTTACAACTGGGAACAAGGGGGTGGGCCATGGATGTCGATAGTAGCTTCTTGTTACTAGTAGTAAGGCCAGGAGCCACGTTCGTAGCGTCCGAACGCTCCTAGTAGCGATGCCCTTTGTTACGTTCGTTGCTTCTTTACAACTGGGAACAAGGGGCCGTAGCTTGGTGTGTCAGGTAGCTTGAGACAAACCAATGGGTCTGCACCGGTACGTCTGGCGTGCAACGGCTTCCAGGAGCGCTGCTCTGGAAAGTGGGGTTGGCTTGAAAAAGGCCTCTTCTCATCGGCCCGATCTGAGTGCCTGGTCGCAGCCTGGTGGCTCGAAGAAGGTCATTGCTGTATTATATATATATATGTATCATATATATATGTGTGTGTGTGTTTACTTCAAAGGCGGTTCTGCTTGAGATGAAGTTATAAGGCTATCGAACGGTACACGAATGATCCGTGAAAGAGTTACCAAGGTTAACCCAGATTTGCACGAAAAGAAAAAAAAGATGTGTCTCCTTCAGCTCCTTCTCCTCTTCGGACTTGCTGCGGTTGAGAGGTTCTTCTTTCAGCTTATCGATGTTGTCCTCATCTGAGGCATCCTCCTGGGATGTTTCCTCATCCTTCACTCTTTCTGCCTTCGAATCGCGCATGGCTCAATCGAATCGCGCAGGAAACGGTCATTCTTTCGGACCATAGCTCCAATGGGTGGTACTCCCGTTGGATAGATGTTGGGGAGGTGTTCCAACACAGCTGACGATGGCCTTTGACTTGAGAGAGGTCCAAACTCCATGCTACTCCCACACTCTCCTTCCAGGTCCAGGAACCCTACCTGCGGAGCATCTCCAGCCTTCTCACTGAGCTGGGCCAGGGCAGTCAGTTCCTGCCCATGACGTGGCGGCTTTAGGATCTGAGAGGTGTTGAGCCGAACGAATCAAACTGCCCGAACGCACCTTTCATCATTGAGTCCCCCCCCAACAAAAAAAGACAGCTGTAAGCTACGTCACAGCTGCGCTGTACATCCAAATTGACCCCGTGCCCCTGTTCATGAACTTCCTAAATCTTCCTAAAGCCCCGTGCCTGGTCATCCAACTCCACCCCCTTGGGCTTGGTGAGCCTTGCTGAGCCAAGGCCCCACCTCCAGCGACCGTGCGCGGGAGACGTTCTCGGGTAGAGACGTTCGTTGGGGGACTGGGGAGGTTCGTGCTGACATGCCTACATCTCTCCACCAAGTGCTCCCCACCAAGCGCCCATCCTGGGCTTTCTTCGCATTTGGGTTGATGGCAAACTTGAAGAACATCTGTGCTCCTAATCCTCGGCACATTGGGTTCATTCGCCACGGTTCATTCGCCCGCGTTGATCAATGAAGAATTCGGGGAGAATGATGTGCTTGATATCAGAAGCTACTTCTTCCAGGAAAATGAAAATGCCCTCTTCTCATCCAGGAAATGCCGGACATTCCCTGGTGACCCTTCTACGACCCATGAGTGTGCTCCAAGTGACAGCACAAGGGCCAAGGCCAACGCACGAACCTCGGTGTCGTGTCGGTGTTATTCATCACGTGTGTGATTCTTTAGTACTCCAAAACAACAAAGCGAATCCAGAAACTACATACTATGATGTACCAGCTTCTTCAGTACGTGACCTTTTGAAGGTTCCTAAGTGACCCTACTCGGAGGCTTAAGTGACCGAACCAACCAGGTTATCAAAAGGTCACTTTGAAGAACCAGGTACATCATAGTATCCAGGATGGTTTTTTGGAATTGCAAAATCTGGGCATCGTTACCCCTTCAATGCTGAAGTACCGACGATCTACTCTGAGATCAGGCAGCTTGCTTTGTTTGGAGAGAAATTTCGCTGAAGGAAGATCCTTGGACTGTTCACTTTTGCAATTTCCCTCTTCACTTGGGGTGTGGCCACGGACTAACAGGTGTTGGTTCGTGTGTTTCTCTTTTCCAATGGGTGTGGGGGGTACCGTAACTGGTCTCCTCGAGTGGCGCTCCAGAACAGGTTCGCCCTTTTCTGTGCGAATCCATCAATGGATCGAATCAAGAACGGTCCGTTTTGCCGTTTCACTCCGTAAACCGCGGCCAAGGGCACCATCTGGACGTGGCTTCGTTCGTTCAGAGACGATCCGCACCGCTTGGGCCGGCTGCAGAGTGGCAATGAGGCCATCACAGGGTGTGGGACCCAAGTGTTTGTGGGAAAATGCCCAGCTGAAGAAAAGGTCCTTGGGTGGTTGTGCAAGAAGCACAAGAAGCACTCTGAATTCGCATGTAGGTCTTCTGAGCGGTCTAAAGCCTGAAACACCTGCCTGTGTCTGGAATCAAACGACTGGAGCGCGCATACCCCAACATTTCAGCACACTGTCGAACAAACACCGCCACTGGATGCCTCCCGGAATAACTCCTCTATACCAGAGACGGAGACATGAAGGTAAGTACAAGAGGCTCCTGGTTGGCCCTTTAACTTGTATATATCCAAAATGCGTTTCCCTCAAATATCTTTGATCATGGTGGTCAAACATGCCGCGGTGGCCAATGGTGCCAAAGCTGATTTGGCCTCCTCCACATTCTCGATGGCCTCTGAAAGAGGCACCGGTCGGAGTGCTCAGGTCCGGATTCTTCAGGGCCGGACCAGCCACGGTAGGAGCCTTTGGGCAAACGCTACAGCCAGCTAAGTTGTCATACTAAACCAACGGAGCAATCCGTATGGCCAACAGCTCGTAGCAAGCATGGACAGCCAGTCCCCGGACATACCGTAGCACCAATGGCCATAGCGGCCTCAACATACTCGAGGGTTCATGTGAAACCAGTCCCGACCTTAGCTTTCTATATGGTCCCTGGATGCTTGGGACCTAGCTGGGAGTCCCTGTAGTTTTTCTTGTTTTCTCTGCCTTTCTGTGTCGCTTTATTTTCTTCTTTCTGTCTTTCTTTCTTTCTTTCTGTCTTTTCTTCCTTCCTTCCTTCCTTTCTTTCTTCCCTTCCTTCTTTCTCTTTCTTTCTCTCTCTCTCTCTCTCTCTCTCTCCGTTTTTGAGCCAGGGCATGACTGGTGTCCAGTCAGTCGTCCTGCTCAATTCCCGATCAGAGCATTTTCCCATCGCATTTCCACCGACTCCCCACCTGGATTGGCTCTAGAGCACGATAACGGACCACCGGCAAAGGCACATACGGCGTGGACCTTGGCCAAGGACATTCTCCGATGGAAAAGAATCGTTCAGAGTCTGTGACCATACTCCCACTCCCACATCAAAAAGCTGGAATCACTGACTCCTGAGTTGAACTTGATCAGCAACATAGGAGATGCTTTCAGGCTAATGAACACAATGCTGGCCAGTGGTTGAAAATAACTCCTGCCTCTTGGAAAAGTACAGCAGCCTCTGTTGCTCCATCGAAGAAATTCACCAAGTTGCCATCTCTAGTATTCCCAGCGATCTTTTCACGGTCCCACTGCCCCGTGTCGGCCTCTTTTTCGTTCGTTTCAGTTCATTTGCCGTGCTTCCACCGAGCCGTAGCTCGCCTCGCTACGCCCGGGCGGAGAGCCTCAGAGTGCCCGTGTTGCCAATCACTTCCACGACCTCGGCTGTCGCTGGAGTCGACGGAGGGAGGACGACCGGGGATGACCGTACGGCGGTCAAGGACGGATTCGGAAACCATGATTCGGAAACCACGACCGGATTCGGAAACTACAGTCTGATTCGGCACAATGGAAAACACACCACAAAAACACGTCAGATTTATATCGAAATGCTTGTGGCCCACGAAAGCGATTTTCGATAGTCGGGCCATTCCTCTCCGAATGTCAATGTCTGACATCAGCGTGCAAGGATCTTTTTGCGCAGCAGCGGCGTAATTTCTGATTCTGCGTGATTGATGCGCTTCCTCCATTTGCTCGCAACCAGAAACCGCACGTCATTGTCACCCCCGCACGCCGTTGCATTTTTATTCCCTCGTACCACCCCAACCCCCCCCCCCACCCAGCCCCCACCCCATCCACAGGATGAGGCGTTTGCCGTGTTCGTGTTGAATTTGCTTTCACGCTTCCCTTCTGTGAACCTGTGTGTTTAATGTGCTTGTTCAAATCGTAGTTTCGGTGGTATAGTTTCTGAATCGTAGTTGCTGAATCGCAGTTTCTGAATCGTAGTTTCTGAATCTTGGTTTCTGAATCGTAGTTTCTGAATCGGAATTTATTCGTGTTGGGCACCGGTCGGTTAAAACGGTCGGAAGAGATTCGGCCGGGAGTCCAAGGGGTGCAGCAGCTTGCGGACTCATCGGGTACAACATCAGCTAGCTGCGTGTCCGCAAATGCCTCTACCAGTCTCTATATCGATATTCTCACACTGTTGTTAGCATACGGCATACTGTTGTTTGATCCCATATGAGCCAAGCAACTCGAACATCAAGCTCTTGCCCATCGGACACCTTGCAAAGCAAAGGTCGGCAAATTCTTGCTCAGCTGCTTCCTCTACATTCAGATCATACAGTACGGGTTCTGTCACTCAAAAATTTGCACGCCGCTCTTGTTGCAGGAAACCGGAAACTCCTGCATCATCTGCATCTGTGTGGATTCCTTCCACCAGGTTTGTGAGGGCCTTCTTGAGAGGCAAGGCAGCTTTGGCAAGCTTGCCCTGGACTACAGCTCCTGCAAGTGGCGTCAACGGAGTTCCCCCCGTCGCCAAGTGTCGGGTTAGGCGACTGCATGTCAACTAGGCCCTGACTGCTTCACTCAGTCCAGTTTGATCCAGCAAGCCGCTGAGATCCCCATGAGTACGACAAGGCTGGAGTTACACAAAATCCCTGAGTTTGAAAGAATGCGGAGCTCTCAAACAATGAAATCTCAGCTAGTGCTCAGTGGTCCTTCAGCTATTGATAGAACAAGTATATGGATGAAACACCCATGATTCCGTATGTGGCATATGATCATCCCTTACCAAGACTCCTTTTCGGGGTGTGAAACATGTTATTTGCGTTAAAGTTGATGAAGGGTCACAATTCCTTTCAACCCACTACAACCAAGTGCTGGGAGCTCATTGGATCTATATACATCATGCCTTCTGTTTTTGCTCCTCCTGGCGCTGTCACGTCCACAAAGAGTTCGCGGTCGCCCTGGTAGCGGACCTTGCCCTTGAACCACTTCCGACTGGCCACAGTCCGCACCGTTGCTTTGAAAAAACATGTCTGACATCTCGGGCGTGGAGACGCATGTGACAACTCAAAGAAAGGGTGTGAGCGTCTGAGGTCTTCCGACGTCACCCAGAACACTAGTGCCTGATATGGTCGATGATGTCTTCTGATTGAGCTTTTTCAAGGAAGGCTCTCTTCTGAAACATGAAGTTGGTGAAGAAGCATGCGGCCCTTGCATTGCAAAACAAAAAAAGCATGTCTGGACTCCAGCTTCTTTAAGATTCATTCAGTGTGTTTTCAAGCGCCCGCCTTGAGATGCCCTCAAAGGCAGAGACGGGGTCCTGCAGCAGCAATCGCACCAGTTGGTCAGCAAGTGAAGTTGGTTTCATATGCTCAACAGCCATCACGTGGCCCGTTCTTGAAATCTACGGCGCAACCACTTTCTCAGCATTTCTCTGCTCCCCCTTCTCTTCCTGCCTACCCCAGTCGCTTCCCGTCTTTCTCTCCTGCAACCTTGAGGTGGGGTACTCAATCATCGAAAGCCCTAAGAGCCCATCTGCTGTGATCCGGTAGACCTGGGCCGCTCGAGCGGCGCCCAGGTGGACGTCCGGCCGAGCCCCCGAAAGGCGCGTGTCGTCTGCGCCGGACGGTGGAGTTGGTGCAGGCCAAGGCGCCCAGACATCCACATCCTGCGAAACAAGAAAACACCACATCTTGGATTCAGGAAAAAGGAAAAGAAGCATGTGACACAATGGAAACCTAAAAGGTGGAGATCAAGCTTTACTTCTGCTCGTGTGAGACTGGCACAGGTCCTAGGTCAAGTGACTGTCACATGAGGGATTATATAGATGTTTGCGGTTCTAGCGACTGCACGAGGTTCCTAGCATGCAAAAACAAATGTTCCGGAACTGCGCGCTGAACAAAAAGCAGTGTGATAACTTAACCATCCAAAAGCCATGGTAACTGCCCTCGGTCAAGAACTTGGCAAAACAGAAGGGCCTTTTTCAAAGCCCTATCCCTGATGGAAGTTTCGAGGCCAAGTTTGCAAGTCCCAAGGACCACCCCAGGGACCGCCCAGGATCACAAAATTAAACCCAAGAAAAACTCCCTAGCAGTCGGGCATGAATTCCCCCACTTGGCAAGGCAACATGGAAAGTTCACTAGCAAGCGCCGTGTCTTTGCCAAACAATGCTGCCTTAAATACGTGACCCTTTTCAATGCGCAATGCAAACATCGCCACATGACAATATGTGTGCCCGCATGTACAAGCATGACAGCACAGCAACAAGCAAGAACCATGGAACCTGCTCCGGAACCCGCCTGCCAGCATGTCAGCACGATAGCATCACTTCATGTCAGCATCCCAGCGTGACAAGAGTCAGCAGGCTAGTAGTTCCGGGCAGAGCTGGTTCTCCGGAACCTCCTGGGCCCCATCACCTGCTCCAGACCTTGGTCTCCGGAAACCTGCTGCGTGCTCGGAACCTACCCGCAGACCGGCTCTGGAGGCTGCGGCTTGCCCCGGACCTTGCTTCGGAACCTGCTCCAGAACTTGCTCCGAAGCCGTAAGCGAAGCGCTGTGCGGGAACAACCGGACGACGGCATCCGCCCAGAGTGGGGCGTTTCCCTATGCCGCACAAAGCGGCTGCGCAGACCAACTCTTGCGAGATAGATTGACCACCTGTGTGGTGTTCAGACTCAAAATCGAGTGGTTCATCTTGGTGTTCAGACTATGCGCAAAAAATAAACACATATACTTATACCCTCACATGATGTGCATGTCCAACTCTCCTCGCCCTCCTGGACCACTTCAGAAGCTGCTCGGACATGACCTCGGCTTCCGCCGGCTTCCGCCCGGTTCGGTCGGGGGCCCGAACGGGGCAACGGGGGGCCCGAACGGGTTCGCCCAGTGAAGCACACCTGACGTGTAAATAAGTTTAACGAGAAAAAGCAAAACAATCGTTTGAGTGTCAACATTACAGTAAGATTGTTTAAAATTCGCGAAAGGAAAGAACCCTACTTGGATCCTTGCGGGAATCGAACAGTTGAAGCATTGGCCGAAAGAACAAACCCTGGCTCAAGACATTCGCGGTGCGCAAATCCCCCGAAGCCTTGAGATAGACGGTAAATTGGACGGTGCACTTGGTCGAAAACTGACGAATCCTGCTGTTTTAAGGGTGTGAACTGCAGGGTGTCCCTGTCTCACCCTAAGCATGCCAAGGTCCATACGCTCCGCCAAGCGCGATGTTCGCACCAGCGCAGGCCGGCCCAAGCCTGAACAAAGTGGCCTAAAAGCCCAAAGTCCCAACGAATCGGTCAGAACACACTCTTGTTCCAATCTGGGCCCAGAAGAGTTTGCTCTTCGGCCACCAAGATGACCTGAGAATGAGTGTTCGGACACCACGATTCACGCGAGTCCGGATTGCGCCCATGTACATTGACCGAGGTCTCCAACGGTGAACATGCATCTCCACGGCTTGCGCAGCAAGCGAGTCTCAGTCCATCTCTGGCCTCCAACCTAATAGCGATGGCCTCCAACCTGATGAATGAGGCCTATAGCCTATATGCCTATTCCTCGTCTTGATCATACCGTATATCTGTTGTATTCCTTTGGCTACATTTGGTGGCTTAATCCTTAAGTCAAAAAGTTCTTTCCAAAAACCTTCCACGGCTTTCCACACCATCTCCCGCACCCACGCCTATGTCCACAAAGGCACCGAAATTTCTAAGCCCTGTCACTGTCCCGCGCAGCTTCTGGCCCACCGCCGGGCGCTGCGGCTGCGGCTGCGCGCGCTCCGCGCTGGTCGCTGCCTGGTCGCTGCTACCTACCGACCCTGTCAGGCCATCCAGCTCTTGTTGGTGGAACTAAACGGAAGTGTCGGGTCGCTCCTGGAAAAACTGGATGAAGCTGAAAGTGGATTGGTGAACCCTGGTAAAATGTTGCCTCCGCTGAATTCCAATCTCACTTCCATGTGAACGCCATGCTCAACATTCCTACTTCCAAAGCCCACCTCTCATCCGTCCGCTTCTCTCCGCCTCTCTCCGCTTCTCTCCGCTTCT